TAATTATTTATCAATTACATAAACATTACATCATTAATTATTTAATTAACCAAAAAAATTATATCTTTATTAATAACAAATTAATTTTTAAACAAAACTATTAAATATAAACTACGCAAACGTGCATTGCACGTTGCTTGCACCTAGTTATTTAACGACATACTTAATATGAATAATTATATTGTATCGTATTTCTTTATATTGTTCGGTCCATCAAATATTGGATACCAAATCTACACTGTTAAATACAATTATGTCAAGTAATAGTTTAAATATATTAGGCTATGAAGACAAAAGTTTAGGGAAAAGTCATTACAGCAATGTTGGTTAAGATAAGGTTTACTTTGTTAATCATGATTATTAGAACAAAATTATGGCACAGGCATTATAAATTTCACCCATTTGGTGCACGTGAAACCTGCACCTGGATTTGTTTCATGATTAATATTTACTTTACAACAATTAAACTATTTCCTTTGTTTATAATGTAATTAATCGAGCAACATGGTTCACCTCGAGTATGTTTGACATGACTTTTGAAAAATCGAACGAGCTTTTGAGATTCGAAGACTGTTTTTTGATCCGTATAATTAATTTTACGATAGTGTTTCTTTTAAGTAAAAGAGTTTATAGAAAAAGTTTGTCAAGTGTGATTTTTTTTAAATGCATTTTCGAAATAGGAAACTTTTTTAAAAATTAATCTTCAAACAAAAATCATGATAAAGTCCTCCAAAAGCTCTCCTATAAAAAAAAAAAAAGCAAAAGTAATATGCCAAATGAGCTCATCATTTCCTTTCTTTAGAGCATGTTTGGTAGTGTCTTAAAACGCAAATTCACTTTTAAGTGATTTTTTTTTTTTAATCTCTAAATTAGTTCGAATGGCTTTTTTAATATTTGAATGAAAAATAAAAACGATTTTTCTACGAAAACACATTGTCCATTTTTCTAGATTTTTTTTTCAAGGTTGTATTTGGGTTAAACAAAGAATATTCTTTCTATACATTTACTCAAATTGAAGAAGACACCAGCAGTAGCATATATGCAAGGACATTCATTGTTTTATAGTTTCCTCTTTAAGAAATTTTCCAACATAATATTTTGATCCCAAATATGCTGGGCTGGAAATTGACAACCCGGAACCTTAGCGTATGGTGAAATCATGTGATCGATTTGTTATTAGAATAATGCTAAGTGTACATAGAACATGGATGCGCTTTTATGTTCATATCCACAAACTGACAAAAGTAGATGAATAATGCTAAGTGTACACAATTTTTTACACAATCTTTTACACCTCTCCCACATGGAAGGGGGCCCACACATAATAAAATAATCGTGGACCCCCCTCCATGTGAGAGAGGTGTGAAAGATTGTATAAAAGTGTGTGTGTACATGTAGCATTACCCTTGTTATTAACCCAGTCAAGAAATGATCAAAGCCCCGAGTAAAATCAGCGAATTTTATAGATGCATCAGCTCGATTAATTGATTTTTGACCGAGTTTCAAATTTTTAATTTTGAAAATTTAGGGACCGATGGATTGAACAATAATAAATCAAATTTTATCCTCTATAAATATAAGAAAAATTGCACATTTCCTTTTATGTTAAGTGGATGTAGATTTCATAATGAAACCTTAAAGACTGCACTAGAAATGAGAGGTGGTTGAAACGTTTTAAGAAAGCGAGCGTGAAGAGAAAGTGAATCGATAGTAACCCGTTTTATTCGGGTTGCCATCCCTATTCCTAGGGTGTACATTAGCCTACGCAAGTAGGCCTCGTTTGGTTGCATTGCAATTCAATGTAATTAATAAAGACTTGTCTCTCTTCACACCAATGACGCTTTTGCTTCTAACAGGTGAATTGACCTAATCACCCTTAAATAGCCTTTTAGAAATATGGCACTTGTTTGCTTTAGATAAAAAAATAAATCAAAATTGATAATAAATTTTAATCATATATTTCACGAAATTCATAATTTTTATAGATTAATAGAATTTTGATCTTTAGATAAACCAAACGGGGACAGAAAATAAACAGCATTTTAAATGGGACTTTAGGCGTCCCTTTTTGTTTGACAAGTTTATTTATTTGTTTATTTTTATTTGAAGTCTAAGACAACAAAATGCTAAAATTTTAAAAGGAAAACAAATTCAACAAAATTCCATCCATCCGATTCTAAACCCAACCCACGAGCGCAGCTTTCTCTGCTCACTAATAAAGTATTATTAATTTGAGATATTTTAGTTTTGAGAATTATGTTTTTATTGAAAACTTGAAAAATAGATATGAATTTCTTATATATTTTTAAGAAAAAATCATTTATACAGAAAAAAATGGCCAGAATCTCACCAGACAAGACACAAATGTGGGTCCCATCGTGTATTTTTTTTTAAAAAAAATGTACGGGTCCCACCTCGTGTGAGTGGTCTGTTGCATTTCTGTACGTGCAGCAAGCTTGATATTTTTATTAGTTTACAAAAATGCTGTATTACACTTAAATTTTGCCTAAGTATACTTAGATTTGTAAGATTTGAAGCTTAGGCTATGTTTGGTACCAATTCTCATTTTCAACAGTAAATCAATTCTTATTTTCAACCACACATTTTTTAATAAAATAATATTTTCTATCACATCAATAATCTTATCTTCTTTTTCAACCATACATTTTCCATTATATCACTATTCAAAATCAATTCTTCCCTCAAAAAATCCCTACCAAACACACACTTAATTTCCATCCCTCGACACATCTTACGTCCTTCATTACCTTAGAATCAATTAATAAAAATGGTGCATGGGGACCGTTCTTCCTTCATTACCTTAGAATCATCAATTAATAAAAATGGTGCATGGGGACCGTTCTTCCAAAATACCTTTTTTCTGGACTTCTTTTTTATAAAATCACATATCACATTCTATCCTCCATTGGGCCCACCATTTTGTTTAGAAAATGTTGGAATTTGGCCACTGTATTATGCGACTGACCGTATTTTTGTGAAGTATTCATTTTCATGTCCCTTTTCTGACGTAATAGCATTTGTTTAGGAAGAATTTACAAATAATTTAATTTATAAATTGATATAATGAGTGATAAATGAGTAAAAAGTACTTATGAATTTATTAGAATGTATGGTTAAAAGACTATTTATAAATTAAGCCAATTGAAATTCGAAAATCTTGGACAATTAATTCTTAGGGGTCTGTTCTCTTAACTATTTTCAAGCCGTTTTATGTTTTCGATTTTCCAAAACAGTGAAAACGCGTTCTCTTTCCTATTGTTTAATTGTAAATTTTCTTTTTAATGTTTAAAAGAAGAACAAATTGATATCCAATATTTTATTATAATGGTATAATCTATTTGTTTTCAATACCAATATTTGCTTAAATCTTTGTCTTAAAAGTGGCGCGACCTTTATGCATCCATCTTAAAGAGCACATTGACTTCTCAAAAATAATACTTACAAGCACCTTATAACTATCATCCTAAAATCATGTAATTTTAGAGGTTTAGGTTTCATTTTTTAACTCGAGCAGCTGTCTACATATTTGAAGTTGAGCCTGGTTTAACGAGTGTCTTTAGAAAAATACTTTTAAGTATCTTGAAAATAAGTGGATTTCATTTTCTTTCTTTTTTATTAAAAAAAATACAAGGATGCTGATAATCGAAGAGTATATAAATGTTGCAACCACCTTATTGGTAGCACAAAAGAGCCTGAAGTCACTTTTTATTGCCCCGACAAAAGGATGGAATCACTCGTGGTAGTAAGCTACTTGATTTTTTTTTTCTTACCTTTATTGCTCATGAGATTTAAAGGACCCAACCCCACATATTACTTGGCTGAGTGAAAAATTGGGCAGACAAAGTCGTTGAGGAGTGAAAGAAAAGGAACAAGCCATTGAAACCTTTAGGTAAGGTTCTTTTCAGAAACCTAAAAGAACTTGTCACCTTTTCCTTAAAATTAAACCCTAAAATCGTGTAAATAATAACTTCGGGCGGATATTTGTTGAAATTTATTTTGCTTTGCTATATAAACTCCATTACCTATGTTCACGTAATAGGTCGTTCAGACTAATAAAATTTACTGATAATCTATCGAAATTGACTTAGCGTAATGATAAAACGAATAAGCAAATTTATTCCGAACACATAATAATCCAAGGAACATTACCTTAAAATACACAAAACAATGATAATGATAATCAATTCCTTAAATAAAGGTAAAACAATTATTCTTTGTATAAGATTATGAGTCAAAATGAAAGGAAAAAATAAAAAATAAATCTAAAGGACACGAGGGAGATTTGTTGAATGAGTAGGGGACATAATCGACATCCCTCCCGAAAATAAAGGGAGTCGTACACAGAGCCTTCTTTAATCGTCACTTCCCTTTCACCCTCCCTACCCTACCCTACCCTACCCTAAACTAAACTATACATACAAATGCATGTATCTATAGCCTGTATGTATTCTTGAATCATAATGTATCGACCCAGTGCTTAAGCATGTACGGTTGATTTGTGTACAATCTAGATTAAGCGCGTACATACGTACTATCTGCCATACAAGTATAAATCACAGTAGTTCCAGCGCTGCTCGTTGCAGCCGCTGCTGCTTTTGTTCTGTCAATTGCAGGTCGCTTATACTGATTAGATTATTATTGTTTGCGTGTTTGTATACTTATATTGTTATTCTAGGATTATGCAATTTTAGCATAAGTATTGAATAATCTTATGTTTATTGTGATAAATACTGAAGACATGACGAATAAACTGTGATTTGATGTTGTAATTGTAAGAGGAAAAGGGGCTTCGTAATGCTAAGAAACAAAAGGTTCTCTTTCTCTCTCTTTTTTCGTAGACAGACAAGACTTTTCTGTCTCCCTCTCTCTCTCTCTATTTATATATAATAAATAATGGACCATAAGTTTAACATACAGAGCTGATTATTTTTCTCAAATATCTTTCGGTTCACTGTTTATTTTGCTCTTAGGTTTTGAATATGGTTTTTGGATTAATCGATTTGAATACTGTGAACACCGACGACGAGACGTCGTCGTTCGATTCACCTTCGTCTTCGTCCGGGAATTCGGAATTGCCTGCGTCCGCGGTCTGTATGGAGCTGTGGCACGCTTGCGCAGGTCCCTTGATTTCGCTGCCCAGAAAAGGGAGTGCCGTCGTATACTTTCCTCAGGGGCACTTGGAGCGTATCTCTGATCACAGTGCCTTAGCTTCTGATCTTCCTCCTCACGTTTTCTGTCGGGTTGTTGATGTTAAACTCCATGTAAGCATATATTATGCTGTATTAACTCCTCCGTCTAAATCCTTGAGCAGATTTTGCTGGTTTTGAGTACTTACATTTTCTTGTTAATCGAAAAATATGTAGGCGGAGGCAGCTAATGATGAGGTTTATGCACAAGTTTCTTTGGTTCCAGACAATGAGGTATGGTTCAATGACGCTCAAATTTACAGTATAGTCTGGATTAATTGTATATATTTGTGATTCTGCTTGGATTTTTCTCTTCATAATAAAACTGTTAAATATATCAACTATGACCCAACCCAAATTCTTTATTGCTGTTTGTTTCTTGGATTAAAGGGTGAGCGCTATAACAGCGTGGATAAATGAGGCATCTTTGTCCAAAATATGCAATTTTCCCTCCTGTTGATATTTAAGAAGTATTTTTGTTATTAAAATGAAAATATATTTGGTGAATGCTTGCCAAAAGAGGTCTCTGCTTTATTTACGATTTAACAAAGCTGCAATAATTCTACTTTCAATGTTTGTATGGAATCTAGTAATCTTACCAACTCCGTTCTTTTAATGACCATATGAAACGTTGATTTTTCTCGCTCTTCTGGTCCGAGGTATATCATAAGGATGACGTTGGAAATGCTAGCCAATTGCTTTACCTTTTTCCTAATTGAAGTTTTTTCTATTCGCTACATAAAATTTGTAGTTCAAAAAGCCGAAAGTATATATAATTGGGTGTAGCTAAACGGAAAATGCTCAACGTGTTATATTTAGGCTTTTGGTTTAATTGCCTAAACCTAGATTCTCTTATATTTTGGCAGATTGAGCAGAAATGGAAGGAAGGGGAAATTGAAGCAGAGGGGGACGAAGAAGACACTGAATGTGCTGGGAAGTCTATAACGCCCCATATGTTCTGTAAGACTCTCACTGCTTCTGATACTAGCAGTCATGGTGGTTTCTCTGTTCCTCGTCGAGCTGCAGAGGATTGCTTTCCTCCCTTGGTAATTTGAATCACATTTCTATTCACTTTGTTTTCTATCCTTCTCTGAATCTTCTATGAAGGTTTAGTTGCTGAACATTTACTTGGATGAATAATTGAGTATGATAAGTAGATAAACTTGGTTTGTCATACGGATGAATTTTACTTTTGATTTGTTTATAGGACTATGAACAACAGAGGCCTTCACAGGAGCTCGTAGCTAAGGACTTGCATGGGACTGAGTGGAAATTTCGGCATATCTATAGAGGTGAAAACTTTATATTAATCTGTTGATGTTGTGTGATTGAATGCACGGGTTTAGTGAATACTGAAGGTACTTTGCTGATCAACTTCTTAATTTAGTACATTATCCTTTTGTTTTGGTTGTTTATCTCTCGTTGAGCAGGGCAGCCTCGCAGGCATTTGCTTACCACTGGTTGGAGTGCATTTGTCAATAAGAAGAAGCTTGTGTCTGGAGATGCTGTGCTTTTTTTAAGGTACGAAAACCTACAAATTGCTGAAACTTTTAGTTGCTATTTCTATTTCATTTTTTTCTTCTTCTCTTGATTATTGTATTTCATCATCTGTGGCAGAGTTGCTGATGGAGAACTCAGACTAGGAATCCGAAGAGCTGCTCAAGTTAAAATTGCAACTGCTTTTCCAGCTCCATACGGTCAACAGTTTACTTCAAGTAGCATGGCTGCTGTAGCACATGCCATATCTACTCGAAGGGTGTTTAATATTTGTTACAATCCAAGGTATTTTAACCAACCAAAAGACTTTCCCTAAAGCCCTTTGTATTCAATTCCTTACTGATTCATTAATATTAATGGATTTGTTTGATGTGATTGGTCATAAAAATGGTCCTTTCCTATATTAGTAGATGGGCGTCACATTTAGGTGCATCCTTTTATTGATACTGCATAAATGCTGTATCATTTTGACCAAAAGGGTGGGCCACATGCATGACATTGACCTCTAATGCATCTTACGTGAAAAATACTTACAAAATTGCGCCAGAAGAGTCCTCAATTGTTTCTCAAGATAGTTTTGGAGGAAGTACGTAAAATTATGGTTAACACTTAACAGTTTGTGTATTTGTATGATTTTGATGTTAGGTACTTCCAATTTAAATTTATAGGTCTAAATTGGATACTTGCAACAGCCACTCATTTTTCGACTTATCCTCGGGATTATTAATTAATTTTTGTATCAGAATGATATTTGATTCACGTTGTTTTTTTCATTATTGTGAACTTTTCTTGAGTTTGTTCTATCATGTTTTCTAATGCCCTAATGTCAACTACTTTTCTATTTTTTCCCTGATTGTACTTTGTTTTCTCTTACTTCAATGTTTGCAGGGCCAGTTCATCGGAGATCATTGTACCTTATCATAAATTTTTAAAGAGCCTTGCACATTCCTTTTCTGCTGGAATGAGATTCAAAATGCACTTCGAAACTGAAGATGCAACAGAGAGAAGGTTGGTTTTATAGTGGCTACTGAATATCATATGCATTCATCATCACGATTTAATCAATATTGTTTCAGCAGGTGCAGTGGTCTTGTTATTGGTGTCGGTGATTTGGATCCTGTTAGATGGCCAGGTTCAAAATGGAGGTGCTTATTGGTATGTTATTTGTTGAGTTCCCTTTGTCTCTCTGCATAAATCACATTGGTAGTTATATATACACACAAATTCAAATTTGGTTTTCATTCTTTCTAGTGATGTAAACGTGTAGGTATTCCCTGCTTTAAGTTAGAGCATTCATTTTTATCGTGCATGTCTGCCTTGGAAAATTGTAAAATCTTTGTAGCTGCTTTTTTAACTGATATATGATTTAACAGTCGTCACTTTATAGTTTTCCCCGGGTACAAAAAATTTCCAATAAACTAACGATTACACATTCATGTGAGTGTGACCAACTTTTTCTTGGAACAAACTGCAGAGGCTTGTTGCCACTCCACAGCAATGCAGATTTCACGTCACATTATCAGGCTGTAAATAATAACGTTTTTATATCAATTTGGACCACATATCAAACCTGTGTGATACATGAGTGAAGTGTCGCCTAGGCAGGATTTTTAGGTATGGGAGAGGGACATAAATCTTACCTCCAGAGTTGTAGTTAGAGGAGAGAGGAAATTTGTCAAAGAAACTTGTAATCATGTAGATATTAACTCCATTAAAAAAGCAGAAAAAATAACAGCTTACAAAAGTAAATGAGGTTGTACATACCTCATTCAGTAAATAATAAAAGCAAAATAGAAGCCGAATAAAATCTGAAGTATTTGTCAATTTGCAATCTGCTCCAAGATGTGCTAAGCAACTCTTCCTTTTTCTCTTACATAAGTAGATTCCATTTATCCAAATTAACAAATCTCTGGTTGCTTATTGAAAGGGGGAACAAATTTATAATTTGCCAATGTGGAATATAGTATTTCGTCAGCAGCAGTTCCTTGTGTTCATCTAGAAGAGGAAGTCCATGCATTTATAACTTGAGCATTTTATGCTCATTTTGATTTCTGTATCATTGTTTATTGTACAACAGTGAAATTGTTGTCATGCCTGAAGTCTTTTCTTTGTAACATCTAAAGTTCTAGTGTCTTGTTTACCTTTGCAGGTGAGGTGGGATGATATGGAAGGTAATCGGCATACTAGGGTGTCACCTTGGGAGATCGAACCATCTGGTTTGGCATCTGGACCCAGCAGCTTTTTGGTACCTGGTACAAAGAGAACTAGGGGCAGCTTGCCAACAACAAAACCTGATTTTCCAATTCAAGGAGGTCTCTTCCAGTTCATTTTACGTGTTTGTGTTATACCAGTTGAATATTCTTTTGTGAGAAATCTTAAGCAGTCTATACATCTTGCAGATGGGAATGAAGCTTCGGATTTTGGGGAACCTTCAAGGTTCGAGGTCTTGCAAGGTCAAGAAATTTTTTGTTATAGTACTCTGCATGGTGGTCAAGCTCAAAGTCAATGTCTATCAAAAATGAGGTGCTTTCCTGGATTTAGAAGTTCAATGATTTCTGGAGTAGGCGGCAACGTTAGGCATCTTCAGGAAGGCTCAGAGACCCCCTCTGCAGGCACAGGGTTTGTTGAATCGTCTCGATTCCGTAAGGTCTTGCAAGGTCAAGAAACTTCCTCTAGCCCGCCATATGGAAGAGGCCCAGCTGCTAACCAATTCCGGGAAAACAGCGGCAGTGTTCAATTGCCAAATTATGGAAGTAATTGGTCTGCTCAAGTTCAGGGATATACTCAAATGCGCCATTCTGCACAGTTGGTACAGGCTTCATCACCTTCTTCTGTGCTGTTGTTTCAGCAACCCAACTCTCCACCATGTAACTTGCAAGCTTTGCATTTGCATCAGAAGAGGCGTGAGACTAGCAGTCGGGATTCAGTTGACTTTGACAGATATGCTAGGGAGTGTACACCATTTCAGAGTGGCTCTGCGCTGGAAGATGTGCAACGAAATGGACCCTCAGGTCAACCAGAAGGGAATAACCAAATTGAATCTTCATACCCAAGTGGCAGTCAAAATTTGGTTTCCACGTGTAAAAAGGGCTGCAGGCTCTTCGGTTTTTCCTTGATTGATGGAAAACATGGGGCAAGTAAGGAGGAGGACAATTCAACTGAATCAACAACTTCATATAACCATGGAAATATATTTCTCGCGTGCAATGAAGAGCAGGTTCATCCAAGTCCTCCAGTGCCAATCAAGGTAATGGGTAGCAGTTGTACCAAAGCGAGGGACATGCATGCTGTCAGAGATGTGCTTCTGATATAGCATTATCGGGGTGGCGTGAATGAACGAGGATTTTGCTGTAAACAGCACAATTGATTCCTTTGTATCATTAATTGTTCCATTTGTGATTGAACTTTTCATTGATATTCAGCTTTCCCTCAAGGTTAAAGCGAGCGAAGACTCGTCGAATGGATCTGGGAGGTGTTTTGATGCTTGTTGAAGATGTTTTCTGACTACCTTTATTGAATGGTATTAGTTTGGAGCTCACGACGTTGTGTGATGTGCTAATGGCATTCGTAGTTGTGCATTCTGTGGGAGAGAAATGACAAACCTATAGAATTTTTTTTTATCTTTCCAGAGTTCCAAACATTGTAGTTCTTGAATGTGTTGCTTAAATGTGTGTTAGGAGTTGGAATCAAATTGTTTTTGCTTGGTGGGACCTTGATTTCATATTTATTAAGAAATTCAACCGCAGTGGTAGTTGTAATGGTAGTAAAATAAGTGCAGCAATAAAGGGGACGTTCCCCATTGACTAGACAAAAAAATGATAAAAATTAAGGTTGTCGACTAACATGTCTACCTGGTTAACATTTGAGTTTGGTCTACTTAGGGTAGAGTTCTTTTTAATTTATAATTTTTCCATATACTCGATGACTTGCGATGCTTGAATTAGCATAGAAATTGAATGGAAATCGTCATGGGGGAGTGACTTTGTTAAATTTTTAAAGGTTGGGGGCTAAAATGTGATGACAAATTGAAGTTAAAACCTTGAGTAAACGTGGTGCAAAAAATGTAGCCATGTCAATTGTTTCCCCCATCTTCGAGTTAATTGTTTCAATAATCACTCAACTTATATTATGATCACGGTTTACTTACTAAACTTCAAAGTGTTTCATAGTACTTTCTGAATTTTGTCCGTTTGCACTCTATCTATCCATCACTCTAAAAAATTTGTTACCTTATTCGTTGATGTGGCTAACGAAAATTTGACGTGACAAATTACGATCGTTAAAAAAATTACAACTCAACCAATCATTGTCTCATTACTCATCAAACTTACACTTGGTCACAATTTACTCATCGAACTTCAAAATGCTTCCCAATTGTCACTCATCTTTGATTTGTTGCATTATGTTCATCATCTGCCATATTTCATTCCCTTCATTACTAATGTTCACACAAAAATTCTACGTGGTAAATTACAAATGTTAAAAATATTACAACTCAACAAAACTATGAACTCACCAAAATCATCATATGTGAAACGTGACTTTCACAACCCCATAACTTCTTTAAAATCCAACAAAACATCTCTAATGATTCTTTTAGAAATATCATTTTTCTAAGGAATAATTGCAGCAGAGGCCCCAAACCTTTTCATCGAACTTCAAAATGCTTCCCAATTGTCATTCATCTTTGATTTGTTGCATTATGTTCATCATCTGCCATATTTCATTCCCTTCATTACTAATGTTCACACAAAAATTCTACGTGGTAAATTACAAATGTTAAAAAGATTACAACTCAACAAAACTATGAACTCACCAAAATCATCATATGTGAAACGTGACTTTCACACCCCATAACTTCTTTAAAATCCAACAAAACATCTCTAATGATTCTTTTAGAAATATCATTTTTCTAAGGAATAATTGCAGCAGAGGCCCCAAACCTTTCAAATAGTTGCAGACTTTCCCCTAACCTTTTATTCGTTGCAATCGTCGCCCTTAACCTTTTGAACGTTGCAGTTGAAGCCCCAATGGACGGATTCCATCAAAATGTCTGTTAGTTGACCAAGAAATTGAGTTTGACCACATTTTTTATATTTTTTGTAAAGGGCATAGTGGTAACTTTCAATTTATTACATTAAAATAAGTTAAAACCAAATTAAAGAAAAAAAAACTGTAGATCTTCTTCTCGCACTTCCTCTGCAGCATTTCATCTGATAATTGGTATCATATCCTCACACTCCATAAACATTTCTTTTTCTCTCTCTCTAGGTTTGATCCGAGCGTTATGTTCGTATATAGATGGCCATGGATTTACTCCTTTTATGCTAAAGAGAGAACGAAAGCAATGTAAATTCTTAACTCTGTTGTAATCGATGATAAAAACCTCAAAGGCTCTGCATAACTCCAAAGAAAATTCACCTAATTTACATACCAAAAAGCCCATGACTTCCATAAATTAGGAACCAAGAATTGGAGTTCTTAATGTATAACAAATAGAAGAAGAAATGCTACTGATATATAGGCAATTCGATGAAGCAGAAATTTGTTTACAATGTGTTGATATATAGGCAATTCAATGAAGCAGAATTTTGTTTACAATGTTGATCTATTTTTGATTGATTGATAAAGAATAAATACAAAGGTTTTTATAGACAAAAAATACAACAACCTTGCCTATGTGGCAATAACAAAATTCTGTTATATACAACTAAAAATGGAATCAATTTAACTTTTTTCGGTATAGTGCCAGCACTCCTCCATTCCAGTAGGTTCCAACATTTCATTTTCACGATTGAATCTTCAACAGCCTCCCTCAAGGTGGAGAGTAAATGTCTTCTACTCCTATCTTGGATAAATGTGAATGAAATACAGCACTACTTAAGGGTTTAGTAAAAATGTCAGTGATTTGTAAACCGGTTCTCACATGCTTTGTAACAATGCTTCCTTCTTGTATTTTGTCTCAAACCAAATGACAATCCAACTCAATATGCTTGGTCCTTTCGTGAAAAATGGATTGGCCGCAATGTGCAAAGCTGCCTGATTATTACAAAATAATTTGGCCACTTGTGGATGTGAGATTTGCAAATCATCAAGAATATATCTGAGCCAAGTTAACTCACAACAGGTGGCTGCCATTGCTCTGTATTCTGCTTCGGCAGACGACCTGGAGATGGTATTTTGCTTCTTGGACTTCCAAGATATTAGAGAGGATCCAATGAAAACGCAATAACCCGTTATCGACCTCCTAGAGTCTGGACATGCCCCCTAGTTTGAGTCAGTATAGGCCTTGAGTTGTAAATCTGAGTTTGAGGGGAAAAATAATCCTAAACCTGGTGCTCTCTTGATGTACCTGAGTATCTTCCGTGCAGCATTCATATGAGATGTTCTAGGAGCTTGCATATATTGACTTAGCAAATGCACTGAATATGACAAGTCAGGTCTGGTAATAGTCAAACAGAGCAGCCTCCCAACTAGCCTTCTGTATGAAGCTGGATCAGGCAGTGTGTCTCCTTCATCCTTGGACAATTTAATATTCTGATCAAGAGGGATCTTGGCTGGAGTAACTCCAATTGTCCCTGAGTCTGATAGAATATCAAATGCATATTTTCTTTGACATATTTGAATACCTTTAGTTGATCTAGCCACCTTTATTCCAAGAAAATACTTCAAATTTCCTAGATCTTTAATCTTGAATTTCTCATCAAGTAAAACTTTAAGAGAATCAATTATTTTCTCATTGCTTCCGGCTATTATTATGTCATCAACATAAACTAGTATGGCAGTGAAGGAATCACCTGTACTCCTGACAAACAAACTGTAATCTGCCTTTGATTGTTGGAATCCCTGCTCTATGATGAAAATGGATAGTTTGGAGTACCACTGGCGAGACGCCTGCTTCAAGCTATACAAACTTTTGTTGAGTTTGCAAACTTTAAAAGATCCCTTGTTGTGCAAATCTGAATTTTGATCAGTAGAATTCCCAGGGGGAATTTCCATATATACCTCCTCTTCTAGGCTTCCATGTAAGAATGCATTATTCACATCGAATTGATGTAAATACCATCCTTTTGCTGCTGCTATGGCTATTAGTGTTCTTACTGTCACTAACTTCGCCACATGAGAGAATGTCTCGTGATTCCAATTGAGTATATCCCTTCGCTACAAGCCTTGCTTTATACCTCTCGATAGTTCCATCTGCATTGAACTTGATCTTGTAAACCCATCTGCAGCCTATAGGAACTTTTCGAGGTGGTAAGTCAGTCACAGTCCAGGTTTGATTCAACTCAAGAGCATTAATCTCATCTTTTATAGCTTTGCACCATTCGGGAGTATTGACAGCTTCTTGGTAAGTAGATGGTTTAGAATGTGCAAGGATGGATGATGAAAAAGCTTTGTGATGTTTAGATAGTTTATGATATGATACGGTTGCACATAAAGGAAAAGCAGTACCTGGAATCACAGTCCCTTTCTTCTTATCAGACGTTTGAGAGTGAGTGAGTGAGGCAACTTGTTGGCAGACGAAGTCTTGTAGGTAAGCATGCATTTTCTTGCTTCTTTCAGACCTTCGAGGAACACAGGAGTTATTTGGAGGTTCAGGTTGATCTCTATACTCAGAATTAGGCTGATCATCTTCTGAGATTTCAATATTTGGATTAGGCTCCTGATCTGACTCTTCTGGCAATTGAGTATTGAAAACAGGGGGATAATTTAAATTGAGGTCTATAGGTTCTGGATAGGATAATTGAGAAGGAGTAGGCAGTCTATGATCAAGGTTTGATCTATCAACATAGTCTTGATCTCTGCAGTTTCTGAAGGGGAAAACGTCCTCATAGAACTTGACATTCCTTGATATAAAAATCTTTTCAGTCTCTAAATCAAGTAATTTATATCCCTTAGTTCCAAAAGGATATCCCAAAAAGACACACTTCCTCCTGCTTCAGTCGAATTTGTGCCTATTGTGCGTGAGTGTGGTGGCAAATGCTAAGCAACCGAAGACTCTGAGATCACTATATGCAAGTTTGTTTTTAAAAAGGATTTCAAAAGGAGATTTGTTATTTAAAATCGGTGTAGGGACTCTGTTTATCAAGAACACAGCAGTTAAAATGAAATCCCCCCAATACTTCATAGGTGTTCCACTCTAAAATTCTAGAGCCCTTGCCACATTTAATATATGTTGATGCTTTCTCTTAACCACATCGTTTTGCTGAGGAGTTTCAATGCACGAGGTTTGGTGTATTATTCCTTTACTAGTGTAGAATTCCTTTAAGACAAATTCCCCCCTATTATCAGTCCTAATCACTTTGATTTTTGAAGAAAATTATGTTTCAATCATATTATAGAAACTCTGCAAAGCAGTTGAAGCATTTGATTTCAATTTTAGTAAATAGGCCCAAGTGCATCGACTATGATCATCAACAATACTGAGAAAATACTTTGATCCTTCATAAGAAACATTGGTACACAGTCCCCATAGATCACAATGAACTAAGTCAAAACATTTTTCTGATCTGTGCAAACTGGTATTGAATGGTTTCCTATGAAGTTTGGCTAAGGGACAGATAGGACACAGTTTCATGATGTGCTTGTGATTGGAATTTTGATGCAGGTTGGTCAGACGCAATCTAGGATCTGAGGGATGACCTAATCTGAAGTGCCACAGGTCAAAATCCTCTTGATTAACAGCAGCGGATATGGTGATTTTGCTGGTGAGTTTTGGTAATTTTTGAATCAAGCTATCAAGAAGGACTTTATTTTGCACTAAATGGTATAGGCCTTGCCTCACTTCACCCAGACCAATCGTCTTCCAAGTTGAAAGGTCCTGCACGAAACATAGATCAGATGAAAATACAAGGCAACAACTTGATGTCTTGGCAAGCTTCCTAGCAGATATCAAATTAAATGAGAATGATGGAACAAAAAGAACATCATGGAGGTGCAGATTTTCTGTAATTTTAACATTTCCTATATGAGTGGCAATAGTGACATCTCCATTTGGTAGTCTAATGGGATGTGCAACTTCAGATTTTATTTCTGTGAGGCACGAAATGGAGCAGACCATATGATCAGTAGCTCTTGTGTCTATGATCCAAGGGGTAGATGAGGTTGTTCTATTTTCATTATCATGAGCTGATAGACATATATAAGTACCATAAACTTTGAGTGCATCAGTGTGACTTGTGGAAGGAGAGTTTGGAACATGATTGGCAGAAATGGAATGTGAATGATTGATTGACGGTTTGAGCAAAGCCATCAGTTGAGTATACTGCTCCTGGGTTAAAGCCACTTGGTTGCTGTCATAGACTTGTTCCTGTGTAGTCCTTATGGCATCTGCACTATGATTGGCAATAACAGTATTTGCCTTTGTTCTTCCATAGAGTTTATGGCCTGGAGGATAGCCATGGATTTTAAAACAGTTGTTGATGGTATGGCCTGGCATTTGGCAATGTGTGCACATTGGCTTATCTTTGTTGGCTTTAAAACACCTTTCAAGTGAATGGCCAGAGATTTTACAGAACGTGCAGAAGTACTTCTTGGGCACAAATCTCTCCTCTCTGTCTCCCTCAAGTTATTTCTTCTAACCATCATTGCCATTCCATCAGAGATAGGAACATCAGAAGAGATATCTCTTCTCTTTTCCTCCTACTGCACGATGGAATATACTTCATTCAGCTTGGGAAAAGGCTTTATCAATAGAATCTGAGCCTTAATGGCCTTATAAGAGTCATTTAGCCCCATAAGGAACTTCATCACCCAGTCTCTCTCCTGATTGCTGATCACAGTTTGCAGACATCCACAGGTGCAATTGGGAATTGACTCATAGTTCATGAGTTCATCGAGCAATGTTTTGAGTTTTGAAAAATAAGTGCTGACAGAATCTTGCCCCTGCATCAACGTTGTTATTCCCTGCTTGACTTCAAAAATTCTGGGGGCATTTTGTTGAGCTAGGCGTTGCTCCAGCTCCAGCCAGAGTTGATGGGCTATTAATATCTGTAGGTTCACAGATGCTTCCATCAATGAACCCGAGTTTGTTTTTGATTCGAAGTGCCCTCTTCATCGACCTTGC